ATATAAGCAGACTAGTTGAGAAAACAGAGAAGGGACAGAGTCAGTTAATTCTATAGAAAACCCAAACAAAACAAGATGGTTATTACACATGAACATTAAATTTAGCTCTGAACTTGCCAGCAGCCTAACATCTATAGTAGACTCTGTATACTCTCATACTATTTGCTAAAAGAAAATATATTAATTCTTCACAAAAGAAAGCACCCTGCGAATTTAAGAACAGAAACAGGTTTTTGACTCAAAAAAGCAAATTTCTTTAGGCTTCTATATGAACATCAAAATAAACTATACTTTCAACAGAAAGCTTACTAAAAATATTTGTGACTCTCAAACTGGCACTGAATTACAATACAGTATCAAGAGATATAATTTATAGGAATGAAAAGTTTAAAACCTAGAAGAATGGAACATTAGACTAGCCGTTAGTTGGTCTTTCTATGATGTATGCATATAAAGAACCTATAAAAGTATATGGCACAGAGAAAGTGCTCAGTGTTGGTTTTCTTTCCCTCCCGCTTAATCAAATCTGTAATCTGATTAAGTCAACATCTCATAAGTCAGAGACAGAGAGCAATTCAATATACTAAAGAAACATTTATTAAACACCTCCAATGTACCAGATGCTGAGAAAACACATATTGAAATGATTTCAGAAAGCTTTTGTTTCTTTTTCAGAAACACGACAATTTTCCCCAAAGTATTATTACATTATCAAGTTCATTTCAAAAACAGCACTCAAAACTCATTAAAGATCATTTGGAAATGAACAACTGAAAATGGCTGGGAAAACTTCAGCCAGCTTAGCCAGCTGTATTATCATAAAATTAATCAATAACATCCTAATTAACATCATGAAATAAGCTCCCCAGAGAAAATCGTAAGCCTGCTCAAAAAAATGTTAAGAAACATTTTTTTAACTGATGCATACTTCATAAACTTTCAAGTAACCTACAAAGGGTTTTTCTACAAGATCACTAAATAAAGAGCTTCCACTTGGTGTCTTTAAATTTCTCCACAAATTGGTATTAACATGTAGGGTATATCAATGTAAATGCAATCACAAGAAGGGCTTAACTTTTTAAATAAAATAATCTCTACGCCCCTTCTCTTTATACTGACCCTTTCTAGAAATGAATGAGATTTAATTCTCATTTGAAACTTTCGCTTCTAAGTAGCAGTCCTTTATTTGTGCTTCAAGTTAATGTACACTTTTTTTAAGAAGAGCCTAAATTACTGATCTAAAAACGATAAGCCAATATAGTCAAGAGAAATTCAGAAACCAGACTGAAAAATAAACTATAAAAAGAAAAACTGTGCTTTTAATTCAATCATTGAGAAAAATATGGTTTAGTAAAAACAGAAAATTAAGTACATCCAGCTGCAAAATGACTTCAGAAAGTTCAAAGCCAACTAAACTTAAACTTAGAGCAATGGGGACAGGACACAAATGGAAGAAACTTCACAATGGTATAGTATGTTGCCGGTCTTAAGAATTTTGAAGTTCTCAGAGTAAATAAAAACAGAACACTAATTTTGCCCCAGGTTTCTTTGTAAAGGAATATTTAAAAAAAAAAGAGTTCTATTTCATTCTAGCCCATTTATTAACAGACTGGTATCTGCAAGTGGTTTAAATACTATGAATAAAAACAAGCAAACAATTATTTCTTTTCATTTCCAGTCTCTTTCCATCTAAAGGAAACAAAATGGCTCCCTGTTTACAGGAACTCTATCCCACTCTCAACTCTGATCACTGTACCATTTCATTTCATTTTTTAATCTTATATTGAACTCTACCACTCTATCTATGGTTAAGGACTTCCTTCAAAATATTGCTACTATACAGAGAAAACTATTGCTACTATACTGCTCAAACGGCTGGGCTCATCTCACTTCCAAAATCTGCTAGTCAACACCCAATACATACATCCTGAAGGCTCTGTTGCGTCTTCCTTACTGACGTTCCATTGCCACATATTCTCCTGGACTCATATATACATCCTCAATAATTATCAGTTAATTTTAATCCAGGCCAAAATGATTCCCAATTGCCATATACTGAAAAAATTACAACTCTCCATTCTAATACAAGGCTCCTTCACAAATTCCCTCCCTTGCCTGAGCTGTGCCACTCCAAATCCTTGTTACGTGTTTTCACCCAGGAAAATATATTTAAGTTTCCTTTCATCAGCTTATTGATTGAACTTCTAAGGGCTCCTAGTTTTCCTCTCCTGAGCTAACCACTTCCATTTATAGAACTCAGTTACTGAAAGTACACATCTTTTCATCAAACTAAATAAATAAATCTGATGAGAGATAATTTCTTCCTAATCTTACCTGGTTTAAACAGGTCAAATATGACTCAATATTATAAAATAAATTAAAACTTTGTTAGGTTTATAAGAGATGTTCACATCCCTGTCAGCCTGCAGCAGCACTGACTTAAATACTTCCAAGAGGCCTGAGGTACTTCTAAACTTTCTTGATTTTTTATAGAGAGTTGTACCAAAGAAAGTGGGCCACCTTAAAATGCACCATATTCTTCATCTCATTATTCAGGTCCTCTAACTCTGTTCTTTCAACGTTAAAGAACCTATCACACCTAATTCTGTTAAGCCCGTTCTGCAAAACAAATTCCTCCATAAATCCACAGTTAACATTTGCTACTGTTCTCACCACTTCAAATCAAAACTACTTCAACTAATGTTTTTATAGCACAGCTGGAATATAAACCAGAAATATACAACTACATTGGATGAATAATACACAGGCCTGCTGTTCTTTGTATGTCTGTGGGTGTGTAGAGATGTTTCCTATGACTAAGCTCCAGTGTGCTAATAAATCACATTTCTTTAATTTAATTATACACACTTCACCTATTATCACACATACATGGATAATTTTATGAAGAAGTATCAGATGTTTCTTCGGAGTAATTTTAACAAGCATTTACTCAAGATGAAATCAAGAAAGATAAGCGCCTTGTGATCTGATACTTTAAATACACACAGCTACTTCAAAAGGTTATTTTATAGTCAGTTTTAGGAAAATTGTAAAAAATTTCTTAAAAGGTATGGCAAGTATCTTAAGCACAAATTTTTGTTCATAAAAATGTATAAGCTAAGTACAACTTTCAGCTTTGTATTATGTAAAAGTACAAAGGACTTTTTTAAGAAGCATGACCACAAATATGTCTTTGACTTTTAATAGCATATAAAAGTTTAATGGTAACAAAATGCACTACAGGCATACACAAACATCAGATTTAACCAAAGTAAAAAGAGTGAAGAACAAAAGCCTAATTTGTTTAAAACGTTCATTTTAATTATTAAACATTATTTTCTGCTTTTAACAGAAAAATCACTAACTTGTAATAAACTGCTTTAACATTTAAATCACCTATTAGTGACAGCAACACTAATAGAATCAAAACAAATTTGTTGTTTGGATATTTAATGTACAAATATACACTATCAACCTAAGCAAATATATGAATAAGAAAATAAACAATATATTTCAAAATCACTGAAATTTATCAAATGATGGCTGTTCTTAAAACTGGGTATTTAAAATGTAATTATGCAATTTTATCACACAAATAATCATAAAATTTATGAAACAGTCCTTATGATTTATGAAGTGAGTTTAAAAAGACATTTTTTAGCTATATTAACAACCATCCACTGTCATCATTAACTTAATCCTTAATCTATCATTATAATCACATCCTTCTGGAATATTGGAGCTCAAGTAAGAATATTTCTCCAGTTCCTAAGGGCCATATAACCTGCACTTCTCACAAACTCACTTAAGAATGAACATTAGCTTAATTTCACACTAATTCCTGGACATAAGCACAGCAGAGAATAGGTATCTACTTCCTGGAACTGTTGTTTTCTGAGTTGACATTAGAGACAACTCAAGAAAGTCTCCAGTGAGAGACATAGGACATTCTTGGGTTAGAATTAAGGAGACCAAGCTCAACAATAACTTCCATATTGTCAAATCAAGTGGTCAGTTCAATGATCTCACCTTATTCAGACTCTCAGAAACATCTGACATAGGTTTACAGTTGATTCTTCTGGAAACACTTCCTTCTGTAAATTGCTGTGACACCATCATTTCCTAGATTTCTTCCTACCCAGTCAGCTGCTCTTTCTGAGACTTTTCTGTTGGTCCCTCCTCCCCTGCACAATCCCTGAATATTACAAAGCCTAAGGCCCTCCTGTCTTACCTACACCCTTTTCCCCGATTTTCTTATCCAGTGTCATGGCTTAAAACCCACTTAGATACTGAAGATCCCCAAATCTATAACTTTAGTTCTGTTCTCCTTATGCTTTTTATCCAACCTCCTTCTCAATAAGTCCACTTGAATGTGATTAGGCATCAACCAGAATTCATGATTTTCCACAGCAAACCAGTCTTCCTTGTAAAAGCAGACAACGCCACCATTCTCCCAGCTGTTCATCCTTCTCTTTTCCTCACACTCTACATCAATCCACCAGCAGAACAGTTCTAAAACAGAACCCAACTCAGTTCACTTCCCACCTGTGGATTATATTATCTATAGACCTGTTTCTTTAAGAATGACATAGAAAAACTGATTACAGTGGCTGACAGAAATAGAATTTATACACAGGAGAAAGACTGATTGAAAGTATATATGTTAAATCAACCAAGGTGATTGCTTAAAAGCACCGTAAACGCTATCATAGAAGAGTTAAGAGCCCGAGGGAATAGGGTAAAAGAAGCTGTAAGAGGGTAGAGTCCATTTAGAAGCAACTTCACAAGTCTGTACTATCTCATCAACCTTTACCATTTGTGTGACTGAATCTTCCAGTTTCTCTTTGAGGAAAAGAATAATATAGGAGAAAAAAAACTTTTGGCAAATGTATTTGTTTTTACTTTAGCAGCATCTTCAAATAGCAGGTGCTAGGAAAAATGGAATATGAATTTAAAAACTAAATAAGATTCATACGAACAGTAATTAAGTTATAACATACTGTACAGAGGTCCTTGTACTGCAGCTTTTGGAATTTTGTGTCTGTGTTTCCCGCACATAGCTCCACATAACCGAGAACAACCTGAAACACGGTATTATGAATGGCTTGGGTGAAGTGCATATGAAGTTGATCCATTGCAGTCTATGGAAAGAAAAAACATACAACATAATCTCATATTAGTAAAATAAATGAATTTCAAGAGATTTGAAAAGCACAGGAAAAATCTTTACCAATGTTAGCAACAGAACAAAGATCACTATTATTCACAGAATTCTAATTGAAGTGTTATTTACAAATTCAGATAATCACAACATCATACCACAGAAGATCAATCTGAATGGCAAATATTATTCTGTTGTTCTGTATTTATGACTGGTACCCAACCTGCCCTTTCACAAACATGTTATGCATAATCACACCTTTGGATCCCTTGCCATCATTACCTTACATTGCTCAGGATTCTCAATGGTCACTGCAGAAGTCTTTTCTGACTATCCTATATAAATCAGTACTTTTCATCATTCTGTCCACCTACACTTATTTATTTCTTTAATGTCTGCCTCCCTAATTAGAAGGTAAGATACATAGGGGCCAATATCCAGGTGCCTGGAGCAATGCACACAGTAGGTGCAATAAATATTTAATGAGTGAAAAGAGTTAATCTAATGGAGGAAATTAGAAGTTATAATTGTATTTTCAAGCATTTTCAAACATGTCCCTCAAAATTATCAAGTGTCTTCCTTCTCGTATTTTTCCCTAAGTATAGCTTAAGATATAAAAATTAATAAAGCACAATAAACAATCAAATTTCCTTATTCATATTATAAAATGTAAATGGAGTTTAAATGGCTTGGTAAAGTCTTAAATTTCCTTCTACAACGGAGACTATTTAAGAGAAGTAAACATTTACTCTATCATGTTTAGATGTTCTATAAAAAAATGTATAATCCTGTACATGCAGAAGGTATAGTTAACTTTCAAACTATGACCATTGCTTCAAGTTTTCCAAGGAACCCCTCAAACAGTAAGAGTATGTAAAGCATGCATTATGGGAGTAGTGAGGACCTTCTAGGGATAACAGGATCCTTTGAAAAATTTGATAAATGCAAAAAACCTGTTTTACAACAAATGTACACACTGCACAAAAGTTCACATACTACTTTGAGGGAGTCATGCTAGGCCATCTAGGAACCATGAGGCTCCAAATTAAGAAGTTCTCATTCAGGACCAAGAGCTGAGGTAAAAGAGACTACAATCCTCTCCCACTGAATTATCTTATACTTTTTAAAATCTACATAAAATAGTGAAAATATTAAACCTTACAAGTCCCTCATAGTTCAAAACAAACTATAATATTTTAATCACACTACACACACTACGAGCCTATGTGAACAATGTTACTACTGTTAATATAACACAAAAATTTGTTTGTTAAGTGAAACTTTTTAAACACATTACATTGATAATATTCAAACTAAAGCAATCATGACGATCAAGAGATTCCAGATCAAGAAAAAAGAAAACATCCTTTCAAAACTAACCTGTGTTTTCCCAAGAAGTCGATAAGCTTGTTGAACCTTAGTGTAATGATTAATATCAAAATTCTTACAGATTTTGGACAGAGCAACATCCAACTGTTCCTATGTAATTAAAAGAGGAGGCAAGAGGTGGTTAAGGAATTATGTTTTCAAGGTAATAAGAAGAAAATATTAAGACCAATGTCTTACTTTTAATCAATACCTAAACACATTTACTATCACACTGAATTTAACAGTCAAAAATAAATTTAAAGAAAAATATAAATAAACTATCATTCTTAACACAACTATACTCAAGTTTACTGATGTTCTTAATATGTGAGATTTTTTTTAAAAACCATGCCTAGTGTTTCAAGGGACACAATTATAATAGCATTTAAAGGAATTTTATGTTTCATTTTTACTTAACTCTATTTCCTCAAGCATCTGCTAAAATCTTACAATTATATAAACTAAATTTGCATAACTATTGAAAAATAATAAAATAATTCCTCTGTAATCACTGAAAATTAATTCTCAACAAAACCACATTGACCTTAAAAGTATGTACCTCAAGGTATATCATTTATATTTACTTTTCTTAATTTATTTTTTTAATAGAGGTACTAGGGATTGAACCCCAGACCTCATGCATACTAAGCATGCACTCTACCACTGAGCTATACACATTCCCACCCTGTATCAATTACATTTAAATGTATCAACTTTGTTTATCGGTTTCTATTCCAATGATTTCATTTTAAAATAATAATTTTCTATGTAAGTACAAAATAATATTAAATATTAATAAAGAAAACCGAGGTTTCAAAAGAAAGCTCATTAAATATTCAGATAATTATTTACCAAAGAGATTTCCAAAGAGGCTATATTTATGTTTATCAAATAAATTGTCATTTTTACAATTAAGAAATAATTGCATTTATGATCAAAAACTTCTTTCACAAAAGGTCATTTGAAAGTCCAGCCTCAATTTTTATCAGTACTCTTATCAGGAAAATAATAAAGTGAAATACCAGAAGAAACCAAATAATTCTTACTAAATACATCAAAATGAACACCCTGCTTGCAAAGATTGACAAGGAAAGAGATGAACTCTGAATAAATGTCGGAGGAAAAGCAAGACTTTACGCTGATAATGACATATCTTTTCCTTTCCAGTTTCTACATTTTTGATGAAATATATAAGATATTATTATGAGGTTTAGGAACTTAAGTAATTATTCTTAAATGAATTATTCTTACATTCACTAAATTAAAAAGAAGTAGTTAACAATTTAAAAATAATGAATACATGGTAAGTATTCTGGCTATAATTTACATGAGAACATACTGATGACTAAGTTTTGAAATCTTTCTGGATATGGAAATAGTTTCAAGTTCTCTTTTCAGATCCCATAATTCTAAAAGTATTATTGAGAGTACAAGTGAATTAACATTAACTTGACCATGCACAGATATTCCAAATGAAAAGCACAGAGTACAGTGATCTAGAAACACTGGTTATTCAACAACTTCTAAAAAGTCATTTAATTTATGATATAATCTCTTACCTCAATTTGTTCTAAAGTATCTTGCAGCTTTGAATTCAGTTCACTATTAAATAAAACAGAGAATGAGGTGTATATATCTTTAAAAAAGACCAAGTGTTAAACAAATACATACTAGTTGAATAAATAATTAATAAATTGACAGATCAACAGTATGAGCAGTAAGTTGTACTGCTGATTCTACAGACAGTGCAATAAGGAAAGAAAGATAAATAAAAGGAAAAGAATTAGAAAGAAAGAAATATCGAGGAAGGACTTTAGAAAGGATAGAAATATTAATGAAATAGGGAATAGAAAAATCTAAAATATTTGCCATGGTGTGTGCAATGTAAACTACTTCTTGTAACTCCTCACAAAAATCTTCAGTAAAGCCAACATTGCTCAGAAAGAAAGAAAGAGAAGAGAAGAGAAGAGAAGGAAGGATGGATTACTAGCAAAAACAGGATTGCATGGGGAAAAAATCCTGAAGAATCTACAGATAAACTAAGAATTCAAAAATTAAATACTGATAGCAAGTTTTAGAAATAAAAATGTAACACAGCTGAAAAGTAAAAAGTCAAAAATAAAATTAATCTCTATATAATAGGAACAAAGAATTAGACAATGAATTTTTTAAAATGACAATGCAAAAAAACAAATAGCTGGGAATAAATCTAATAAAAAATATACAATACAAAATTAAGTTAAAATAAAGACTTAACAAAAGAGGTATATACCATGAAAACAAACTAAAACCTTCAATACAGTTGGTATCATTTCTCAACAAGATGATCTCCTAGAATAAAATGAATTGAAAATAGAAAATAATGAATTGAAATTCCTGCAGGCTTTTTTAATGTAGAAACGGACAAGCTGCTTCTGAAATTCATCTGGAAATTCAAAGGGCTAAGACTAGTCAAGAATACTTTGAAGAACAATGTTGGAGAACTAAAATAGGTAGTCTTTTTATAAAGTTATAGCAATAAGACACTGGTACCAACATAGGGATACATAAAACTAATCAACAGAGCCAAGTAAGAACAAAGGTTAAAAAGCCTTGAGAAGATTCTCAACAGAGGAGATATCCAATTGGCCAAAACACTCCAGTATGCAATCAGGAAATGCAAATTAAAACTACAATAAGACACCATAACAAATTTCTTAAAAATGTTCAAATGATATCAACAAATGCTGGCAAGGATGCAGAGTAAATGGAAGACTCAATTCAGTGCTGGAGGAAGGGGAAACTGACACAATCTCTTTGGAAACTCTAACATCTACTGAAACTCAACACATGCTAACTCTATGTCCCAGTATTCCTAGACATGGACCTATCAGAAATGCATACACAATCCTTAAAGTATTATTCGTAACAGGCAGAAACTTGAAAGAACCCAACTGTCTATGAACAATTAAATGGATTAATAAAGTGTTACGTATTTTATATGATGAAATACTATAGTAATGAGAATGCATCACCTGAATCTCAAAAACATAATACTGGACAGAAGAAGTCAATTTAAAAAGTACATACTGTATGATTCCATTTACAGAAAGTTCAAATAGGCAAAACTAACTTCAGTGACAGAAGCCAGAACAGTGGTTAGTTACCTTGAGAGAATAATGATCGGAATGGGGCATGAAGGAAGTTTCCGGAGCACTAGAAATGTTCTATTTCTACTTCTGGGAGGTAATTACATTATTATGTTCACCTTGTACAAATGTATTGAGTTATACACTTAAGATATGAATTTGAATCTGATTTTTTTCCCCTTTAATTCTCCCTAGGTCAGTTTAAAAGAAATCAGTATTATTTGAATTGTAATATTCCATTACTAAAAAAGATCTGTGATACCTAACAAAATAAATAATATCATAGAAAAAAACATTTTAACAAAATAACTTATGGCAAAAGTAAAATAAAACAGTAAGAACAAGTGAAAGACGCAGTTTAATACACCAAAAATATACAAGGTTTTGTAGTTTTTTAACAACTGTTATCTGGGAGTTTCAGGGAATATTTTGAGTTTGGAAAAAAAGGAATGTATCTAAACTCATTCACTGGTGAGAGTAATGATTTCTTCAGGTTCTTAATTGAAAAAAATGGGCTTAGCTTTTATTTACAATATTATCATAAATCTAGATGTTTGTATTGCATCTACTTATGGTTAAAATGATTCTAGAGCCTATCCAGAATTAATGCAAATGTGGTAATGTAAATAGTATGTAGAAGATTCTACATACAAAATCTAGAAATCAAACATTTTGGTTTATTAAAAATGCTTTCAAAATCTAAACTGTAGTTTGATAACAGTTTACTACTAATTAAAAATACATACATAAAAATGTGATTAAGGAGTGGATATGTTAAATATACAGCCTTTAAGGAAACCCTTAGCCATCATTTAGAAACATGAATTCAAGTTATTTCAGTCCATTAACCAAAGCATATAAAAAGAACCTATTCATAAACATTTGGATTAAAAAGAAGCTACATTATGGTCAAAAAAACTACTAGTTCTAAGATGAAAGGCTAAAAGCTATTAAAGTCTATTTGCAAGTGAACAGAATGAATCAAACAATTTGGGGGTCATTTTTATAGTCACTACAGAAAATATTAAAGATAACATATCCATAAATAATTAAAAGTTTTCTTTTCAATAGCTGATCTAGGACATACACACTGGCAAAGTAAGTCCTAGAAAGTTGCATATAAATCAAAATTTTGTACAAATTTGACCATAATGAAAGACAAGATGGTTCATAGGTAATTAGCCTCTAAAAGTTCTTTCCCTGGTCTGTTATTAATGAGCCATGTGATTTAGGACAAGTCTCTTAATAGCCTTGGGCATTAGGTTCCTACACCAAAGCAGGCTGGATCTAAAGTGATGTTTCTGGCTCTAAAGTTTCAAGATTCTATTATATACTGAACACCAGTTACCCAACTACCACATCTCTGTATATAATTCAGTAGAGTGGTAAAAATTCTGGAATGCACTTAAGCAAAATTTATACTGCTAAGTTTACACTGTATGTCCAAGGTCCCTGGAAACTCCAGTCAATTTAGATCAGAAGTCTATTTCAATGATTTCGATCTATTCACTGCTGGCAGATAATTTATCAACAGACCTCAGAGAAAACCTGATTTTCAAACACTTCGAAGCTAAACCAACAACCCTGAGGTACCATTAAGTGTCCACACGATCCTTCAGACCACTTACAGACCATAAACAAACTCCTAAGGTCACTTTGGATCTACCCAGACCTCTGTCCTCACTCTGTTTAGAAACCCCCAACCTAACCCAGAACATAACTGTTCATCACAGAGAAAGCCCACAGTCCATTACTAAGGATACTAAAAATGTTCAAATCATCTCCAAACTTTGTGAATTGTACTTCCAGAACAGAGATCAGGCTCAAGAGACAAATCTAGTCAACAGGCTATGTTTCTGCATAAAACTTTATTGGAACACAGCCACATGCCTTTGTTCACCTATCGTTCAAGGCTGCTTTCAGTCTTGAAGGGCAGAGCCGAACAGCTGCACCTAAGAACTTACAGCCTGTGAAGTTTAAAATATTTATCATCTGGCCCTTTAAAGACAAAGTCCCTGTGCCGACCCTGTGCTACAGTTCAGTAGAAGACATTTTAGTTGGTCAACTGAACAAAATTAAAAGAGGGATATTTATTTGTGTGTTTACAGTTGACTATTTTAACTAAAACTGTATAAATGTACTTCATTCACCCATTTCTGATTTAGAGCCAACATCTTTTCATTTGACTGGTTTTTTTTTAACTTCTTAGTCTCATTGAGCCAAATCACAAATTAATTATAATTTCAAGTTTCATTTTCTCAAAAGTGAAGCAGAAACTCAAAAACAAATGCAAAACAATCCAAATGTCAAATCACATTGCTACCTTATATTCCCCAATTTTTTGAGTTGTCTCATCTACAAAAAATTCAAAAGGAAATTTATTTTTAACATTACGATTTTTTTTCAATGCATTCAACTTACTTTTAAAATCTTGTTTCACTTCATTAGTTTATTTACTTAAACAACATAAATACAGTAAAAATAAACAAACAAACAAAGACAACTGGCAGAAAGAGGTTTAGGAAAAAATAGAATTAATTCTAGTAAGGATATAACTCAGATACTGGAGCAGAATAATAAAAATGGGCCTACTAGCCACAAGCTTCCACTGCACGTAATAGCTACAGACAGTCTAGTGCAGTTGTGGTTAAGAACAAGCTCTCCATTCCAACAGATCTAAGTTTAAATCTTGACTTTGCCAATTATTTTACAAAGCATCAATGTCCTTATCCATAAGAGAGACAATAACAACACCTCCAGGGAATATTTTGTGATTACTAAATAAGAAAAGGAAAGAAAAATGACAAGAACAGTATTTGACACACAGTAAAGGCCAAAACTTTTAAAATATTATACTATAATCACTATCACCATCATCATGATTCAATTTTTAAATGCTGAAAAATCAAGCTTTAGTGAGAAAACCTTATTAAAATCTAATTTAGAATTACTGTATAGTCAGTGCTGCCTTAGCTAATAGAGTCCCACTTCTACTCTCACTCCTATAAATGTCAGTATTTCCCACTCCTGCAGGGGCATGGGAAGTGAGTCATTCACAGCTTGAACATCTCTGATGGTCTTTTGTTTGTGTATTCTGTGCTCTTAACTGGCATATTATCCCCCATTCCTACCTATTAATTGCCTGTTATTACAAACTCCTAGAGAACAAATAAATTTCAAAAGCTCTTGGTATACCAAGTAAGTCAGCAGCTCACACAGCGAAGCCTTAAACAATACTCCATTCTTGTCTCAGCATCTAGGAGTCAAAGTCTGACACAGAAGATCTTTCTAGACTGGTGAAATTTTAGAACATCAAGGAAACAAAAAAGAAAAATCCTAAAAATTTCTAAAGGAAAGACACCACTTATGGTGGAATGAGAACGAGAATCGCATCAGACTCGCTCCAACGACACAGGAGGCCAAAATAGACAACTGAGCAACACCTTCCATCTTCTATGAAAAAAAATTATTTAGTACATACACGGTTGAAAGAAAAATTAAATCATTTCAAAATCTGAAAATTTACCCCCCATGCATGCCATGTCAAAAAAAAGTTTCAAAGCAGTAACTAATAAATCAGGACAAAGGAATATACTAAAAGGGAACGTTATAAAGAAATGACAGTAGCTGAGAAGGACCTAAAAAAGTGAAAAATGATGAAGAGAAATTAAGAAAAATACTAATGGATTCTGATTTTCATTTAGAGACAAAGGATTATTTTTCCTTTTTTTTAATACGTCAAATCACTCTACTTAGTTCCGCAGACAATAATATTTACATAATCAGAATAATAAAGATGACTTCTGTTAGGTTACTTCTAAAAAAATTAACCTATCAGAAAGAACAGAGAAGATTTAATTACAGTTCTGAAAAGAATATAGATGTTATAAACTTGACCAAGTGAAAATAACAGTCTTGCTAACAAAACCTGGAAGAGAAAGGAAGAGAAGTAAAAGGAAGTATATCAAAGTCCTAACTCATTGATTTTTATTATGGGGAGTAAACAACTAGAGCATCAACAACTATCTACAGTGATCAGTCAGGAGAAAGATACTGTAGTGTGGTATTTTAAATTACAATGAAATCCACTGGAAAAAATTAATAAGCTGTAAAAGCGGTTTACTCCAGGGAGTAGGAAAGGAAATGGTGAGTGGGGCAGAAAAAAAAACTTCCACGTTTTGTTTAAGACTCTTTTGTTCAAATACTATGCTTTGTGTAGATTTTACTTTACATTATTTTTAAATGGCACTGTGTGGGGGGAAGGAGGCAGAGGAAAACAAGATAAAAGATAAGGAATGCAGACAGTGTCAGAATAGCGCCATGGCCGGATAGCACAGTATCAGTAACTCAGCCCAAGCAGAAGGAGCAACAGGGACTCCAGATCAACACATGGGTCCAGCTAAGAGGGCCTGGCGATCCTGCAGAAACACTCCTTGCTCAGCACTACTCCAGGCAGGGCTGCTGGGTTCCCCTGGTGTGAGTCTAAAGAGAAAGAGAGCAGGCACAGCTTGCTAGAAAGGAATTAAGGTCAATAGGGGAAGGATAGTCCCTGGTACCGCTAATACTTGTACCTAAAAGCTGTGCTCACTGCTCTATGACAAAGAAGATCTACAACCTATAATTTCCATTCAACTGTCAAAATCACCTTCTGAGAAAAAAATAACAGGATATTTTAAAGGTTATGAGAAATTAAATACCTGTGTCTATGTTAAAGCACAGTATTCAACCCACTAGTTCAGACGGTATGCAAACTTTTCGGTGCATAATCCAGCATGCTCTCAGGTTCAATCAAGTAGTTTCTTTCAAATGAAATTAAAAATAATAAAGCAGTTTTGACTTTTAAAAATAACTTTTCTTGAAACTAATTTAGATAAATTTTAAGTGAAAAAGAAATTAAATGCTTCATTGGATGTACTTCAACATAAACACACTCTGATTCTTACTCTCAGTAAATCCCAACTATAGGACTCTCTATCAATCAACTCAAGAAAGGTGAAATAATGCAAAAATGTTCCCTGTCAGTTATAAAAGTGAACAAAACTGATGTTACAGTAAAGATGCTGAAATACAGCACATCTCAAGGAAGATACAAGGTACTTGAAGAGGTACCAGTTTTCTTTCTTTTTTCAATTCAAGTGAACAATCCTGTGTTCTCCCAAACAGGAGCAAACAGATGAAGTAAGAAAGAGGTGAAGGGAAAAGGGAGTTGGGTCAGGCAGGACGAATGGTGGCTTACAAAGGAAACTGCTGTCCATGGGGGTGAAGAAATTGCTGGTGGAGGGACTGTCATCACCACCAAGCAATTCCAACTAACAGCTCTGCTCTCTGAGCCACCCCACCTAGCTACTAAATCATGAAGTTAAAAACACAACTCTAGCAGATTTCCCAGGAAGCCTAAGATAAAACCCCATTACAATGAATTTTTTGGGACTTTTTTTTTAACCTATTTTCATGTGTGTATTCTTTGCATGTATTTTTACCTCTTTTCAGAAAATAAAACAAACTTTTCTCTTTATTGTATGCATGACTCAAATATGTAAACATAGCATGCCTCTTATATACTGTATGACCTAAAATAAAACAATAATTAATTTAAATCATTATTGCAGATCTTTCCCATTTCAAAACTTCTCACCAGGTCAGATAACTGTAGTCACACTTCCTCCACATACCACTATATACATAAAAATTAAAAAGTGCTAGGAAGACAACTTATGCTAACTTGAAAAAGCCTAAATAAGAATTTCTTTCAAAATAATTTTTTATAATTAACTCTCATCAAATTAGATATTTACTTTAGCAAAGCTATAATAAAAATTTTAATTAATGGAAATAATAAAGTATCAACTCATGTCACCTGCTGCCTCAATTTCCAACCACCAAATTTCCAGACTCATTCTTCCCTATTACAACAGAATGGTGTCCTTTTCAAAGTCAATCTCTGCTATTATCACTACAAAGCCTTAATTTATTATTATGTTCTCTATTTTATTATGTACTCTTTCCCATCGATTTTCAAACATTCAGGTTTCTCCCCCTCAATTCCACTTCTCTCCTCTTCATAAAATTTCCTCATCCTGCACTTACACATCAAACAAATCTGTCCTCAAGAAGGTCAACTTTGATTTCTGTGTTGCTATAAATACTATGGACATTTTCGATCCATGGCATCTCTGCAACAAAGACTTCACCATGATACCAGTAATCTCATATTCACAACCCCTCATATCTTAGTTTAGCTAACTCCTCCCAAAGGGCCTCCTTAGTATTGGCCCCCTAAGGAGAATTAGATCCCAACGCTTCCACTGTACGCTCAACTTCCTTCTCTCTAAAGCCCTCTCCCACTTGTGCCTACTCCAGCCCGAGTTCATCTTGATAGACTATGCACTATAGAAAACCATGGTTATACTGATTGCATTACATACAGCTCATCACTGTGCAGCCAATTCCAAAGCAAAGCACTCGACATATAATAAACACTTAGTAAATGCATAACTCCCTGAATTATTTTCAGCCAATCATAAATAAGCTTTTCTCATTCAACAGATTTATCACCACAAAATGAACTAAATCAGCACTATGTTTCTTCAAGATCCAGAAGGCCTGGCTAGAAATTTTCAAATAGATTCAACACACTAGAGCTAATTCTCTATTCTCTCAACCTATTAAGTATAAATGACACAATCATGTTTTTAACAGTGACAGTTAATCACTGTCAAAATGGATAAAACCAAAATATCACTGGTACTACCCAAACTATGTGTTCCTAATCAAATAAAAAGTGTTTTGCTTCAATGTGCATGATCCTAATGGAAAAAAATTCCATCCCCAGGGGGAAAATATCTAGCCCTTATACTATACCAGCAGAGACCTACGATGTGACAGAACAGACTTAAAGCACAACTTAAAGAACAAGTTTAATTCAAAATTCAAAACTATTATTACTGTTTCACTCTATCATAATTCTTTTATTTTTCAGATACTAGCAATCAACATCTACACCATCAGTGCATCCTGCTTACTGACCATACAGGAGAGACTAAGGGGCTACATTCTGGGATAAGTAGGAATTTAATTTGAAACTGCGTTTGCTTGGCAAGTTCACTATTTTACTTAGTTTGTATGTTTATTTTTGATGGTTTTAGAGGAATGATGGATATTACAGCAGGATTAGAGCCTCCCCAAGGTACTGTTACCACTAATGCAAAACCTTCATTTTAAGCAGACCAAAATTCATTAATAGAAATTAGAACTAAGAGCAAAGGATGCAGCAACTATCTTTACACTGTAAGTTTTATAAATACTTAAACAAAAGATACAACACATTGAACACACAATCACTTAAACATTACAAAGATGACTGTTACAGAAAGTGAAATCACATTTAAATTTTCCAAAAGAATCCTTATCATGATGAGCCAAACAGTTGAACCATCTGGATCTGAAAAACAAACTGCAACAGCACTCTCAATATTTATAAGCTGGGCAAAGTTAAGGCAGAAGAATTCCCAAGAGTTGCAATGGAGACAAGAACAGATGAATTTATTCTCAACCATTCTATAAAAATGAAATCAGTAAGACTGGGAAAAAATATGGAAAAAAGTTTCAATGAGGTGACAGGAAGCAGGATTAAAAAGTATCCAATCATTCATATCTTATAAAAATTATTATTTATAATTTTATTGTACTGTCCATTTACAAACAAGAATGCCAAGCTAGAACACAGCACTTAACATTAACTTGCAATGTTTGTTAACATTGTACGTTACACAACTCCTATATAAAAACTGACAAAAGAGTCTGCTTTAAAAGTTGTACATGACCTTACCTTATACAACTGTAATGTTTAAAAGTGCTGGCAGCTTTCTGACATTCCAGGCACAGCTGAATAGCTCCTGGGTAGTCTTCCTCCTTAAAACAGCAACGACAGAAGGCATTAAACTGGACACATTTTTATTAAAGTCCCTGAGAAAGATAAATCTCTGTTCATACTCTATCCAAAAGTTACAGTACCAGAAAATTTTAATTCCTCTCAGATGAGGAGTATAATGTCAACAGTAAGATAAATAAAATATAACGAAGCAACTAGCTCCAAGCCTAAAATGTATGCACAGAAAAAAACACTCTGTTCTCTTAAATATACAGTAATAGCCCTCTGAGACCATGACATGTGGATAAAGCCTATAAAAAGTGTAAGCTGCTTCAGAGGGAAGGAGTTCTTTAACTGTAAAGCTATCTTCTTCCAGTTGTGTTTATATAAAATGTTCCAAAACAGTATGCATTCTACTTGTAATCAACATTCAACAGTTCTACCACCAAGAAATCCATAAATATTCTTAAACAAATAAGTTGGGAAAAAGTGAAATATTCATTAATAGCCTCACAATATTTTTATCACCCAAACAGTAATTTAATGCCAAGTGAATTTTCCATATGGAATTCTCAAATCCTAATTTAGCGGTAATAGTTTAGAAGTAATGAGTGATTACATACAAAACCATCAAAAAATGTTCCTGAAGTCCGTATCTAAATTCAACAAAGGCAATTCAAACCACAGATGCTGAGATGATACCCGAAGGTGCTCCAGAATTATGGGGAAATACACATAATACCTTAGGCTTCGGTGAATCTTATAACAGAAGTATGTAAAGAATGCCAAGAAAGCACCAAAGAAAAAACAGATGGCTCACTCAGGAAGCCAACTTGTCTATGAGACACCAAGCATAACTAATATATGACATATTCCTCAAATCACTACTTTGTTAGATACAAAAGATAATTTCATTGCTGTTTGGGCGCAGATATAATCAAAAGATACTGAAGTTTCCCACATTGCTACAAACTGAACACCTTCCCCAAGAAATTTTTCTCAATGAAGTATGTCAATAGAAAAATGCTCCAGAGCAAGTTCCTTTACATGTGTAAAAATGTTCTTTGTACCATACACTGATCTGGGAAAAATGCACATCTGAATTTTTTTCATAATAATTCTCCACTTAATATCATTAGGATCACCAAATTTCCAAGCCTTGTTAACTTACCTCCAGCATTTCACTTAAGCGAACATCTGTTCTTTGCTGAAAAAACAAAAATCAAAGGTAAAATCTGCTTCAATCATAAAATTAAACTTTAATTTTTAAAAAGTAACCCATATATACCAATGTTTTTATAGTTCTCAGAGATTTCAGAAGTCCAATCAGCAACTGACGTTTCCTTTGATTGGCAAGAAGGCCTAAACTAGCTTGAGTAAAACCTTCCTTTGCAATATTCAAATGTCTGCAAAAGTGAACAATAAACAGTTAAATTTTTCTAATATAAAAGAACACTATCCAACCAGAACAATTAGGCAATTAATAAGACACTATCCTGAATTACTCTTAAAATTAAGGATTATGAGCACTATTTAACAAATTTATTGAACAGCTCAATCTAAACCAGCATAACCTGAAGCAAGGTGGGTGGACTGGTACCAATCCTCAAACTGTTAGTGGTCCGTCACAAGAAAGTACAGAAATTGACAATAAGCATTTAAAATATGTAAAGCAAAAGCTGACAAGATAATTTTATGCTTGATGAACTTAATAACAAAAAAATTTTTTACCACGCAGAGCAAAAGTTAACATGATAATTTTATGCTTGATGAGTCTGATAATGAAAAATACAAGACTGTGTTTTGTATGTGTTTGGTTGGTTTTTTAAAAATTCATTTTCCTCGTAATTTCTTTTTATTGCATTTTATAAAAATAATAGTCTGTAACAAGTTGGAGATTTAAAAAAAAAGACAGGTCCTTCACCACAGTTTGAGAAGCATTGATGCAATACAAAAAAACAGTATTATTTTTAATCCCCTAACTAGATTTGCGGACATTTCCCACATACCTTCTTAGGGCAGTTTTTAGATCATAATATAAATTCAGTCAATGAATGGTATTGTAGAAACTACAGCCATAATAATAAAAGAAAAATCAATATTCAATGACAATTTCCCAGTTTTACTCAAATGTTATTCAGCTTAAAGAATAAAACATCAAATGCAATACCTCCTCCCGTTTGTGCAGATAACGGCAGCTAACTGAAGACCCGTCTGCAATGAGGTAACTCTTTCAAGTTCCTATGGAAAGATTCGGTGTAAGTTACTGTTTGAAGCATTTTAGTTTTCTTTCTTATTGGTGTAGTTCTCTAACAAAAACTTTCGTGGGTTTCAAAGAAAAGACTGCTTGAAAACAAAGTAGCAACAAAAATACCTGAACTTGAATACTGTTGGTATATCTTTCACAAAATTATTTTAAATAACTACTTTCAATGATTTTCATAAAAGCATGTGACAAAATATTTAGGCAGTATTGTTTGTGAAAAAAATCTAGATCCAACTTCTTTTAGATGGGTATAAACAAATACTAATACATCCATTTCAATGTTTCTACCCAATAGACCTTCACGAGGTAACCAAGGATATGACAAATATGATTTCTGTTTGCTAAGACGCTGTGACAATGAATATCTTCATTTGATCATTGTTAGATATTTCAGTGGATTTTGAAGTCTCTGATTTTCCAATGAAAAGGCAGATTCAGCTAGACAGTTCTATATCATATTTTAAAGAAAGACTGAGCAGTCACTGATGAGCTATGAGTTACAAAATAAATAAAAGCAATTTTCAGTGGCCTTTCCGAAGTTAGGAAAACCAAACAGATTACTTTAGAATCAGGTATAAAAATTATTTCAATTCTTCGGTTTGGTATAATCCCCCCCAAATGAGAGAAAAAACATATACAGACACAACCCACATAGAGTTAATATGTTGCTATAAAACTACAGACAAAAGAATAAATTAAAATATTTCAAATTTCAAATGTAAGTCACTTACACATGTTTAATATTTTACTATTAAAAATAACAAATATCATCCTACCTTTACATAAGCAGGCTGTTTTTCAAGGATTAAATCTGCTACTTTTTTAGAGACCTACAAGAACATGCAATCAAACAAAGGAAATAAAAGAAAAAGCCTCATGCTTTCTATTACATTTTACATTTAAAAATTTTCCAGAACATTCCACAAGTCTTCCCAATAACTTCTACAACAGATATTGGCATGCTATGGCCACACGTATTTCTCTGGCTATGAAATTAGTAAAAGAGGTAGAGCACATAGCACAGTGCTTGGACTTTAACAGAAGCTCAATAAATGGTTGTTATTACCATTAATAATGAGTATCATTATCAGATTTAACTAACATGCACAAAAGTGTAGCCATCTTTAAGGGCACAGGATTTGTTTTAAAAAGATAAACTTGATGAGATAAATAAAGGTTTAACCAACTGTATTTACAGAAACAACGTCTGGGAATCGGAGAACATCATTGTACCCTTCAGATCCTTTGTACCACACAGGAAGACAAACAATAAAATTTGGTCCTCCATTTCTGAAAAATTGGAAACACATGTTTTTTTGGAGTGCTATGAAGATGTCTAAAGCCTTCTTGGTCACCTCTATGAATAATGTTAATGTCTGCAAGTTAGAATTATAATGGTTTAGAACATGAGGCTCTTACTTCACAATTTCAGCGGCCCCTGCAGGAGGACACTGCAGCAGGACCACGTCTAGCACAAAGCATGGCACACCAAAGGTATCTGGTGATTGTCCCCTCTCCTTTCCCCAGTCAACTGGGAACGAACGAAAACACTACACACACATTCAGCTACGGCATTAACCCTTTCATGGTTTTTTAATCCACTTGGAATTTGCGCAGATAAGTATAGATTTGACAGATATGAATCTGTATAAATGTGCAGACAGAAACCCCACGTAATTTTACCAAATTGGGCTTATTTTTTTAAAATAGATAATGTAGTTATTGTTAGTCTGCACTGTGCCAGGCAGTGTGCTTTTCATAATCTATTGAAATAGTTACTTGCTTCCTCATTTTCCAGATGAGTCATCTTAAAATAGGTAACAGTAAATCATCCATGCTCATACAGTTATTAAGCTGCTAGGCCGGGATTCAAGCCCAGGTTTATCAAATCCCAAAGGGCACTATACTACATGGCCCTTGAGGTGGGGCTCCTTCCCAAAAGAATGTCACCATATGAAGTACAGAGGAGGAGGAGGACATATTTAAACATGCTGAAACCAAGAGAAGGCAAAAGGTGCCATCATCCACTGAATTCTAAGTTTCCAAAAGCACAGCATAGCTTTACTACACAGCCCTTTAATGCTCAAGTGCCCTTCCCACATCACTGCTGCTGCCCACAGGGAGACACCAGCACCCACCAAGACCTCCAGGTATAATACAAAAGAAAGAGAAGTACATCTTCCTTTCTTTGTCAGATGTATTATTAAAAATCGTATTTTAAATAAAAATAGCTAAATTATTATATCACTCTTTTAGGAATTCAGCCTAACATGAGGAAAATACAAAATCACAGAATTGTACAGCATTAGAGAAAATATATGCCTAATCCATTACTTCACGGATGAAACAAAAAGGGACTCAGCAAGGCTAAGTGACTTGCCCAACATCACACAATTAACAATGATTACAATTCAGACTTTCTGAATCTTAACCCTGTATTCCCTTTAGACCAATTTCAACTACAAGTGGGGGTCTTTACTCTGGATAAAAAAACTCCACCACAAAACTATAGATAGGGATGCAATATACTGCATATGTATATACAAACTGTAACAATTCTATCTAATAAAACTGAAAAAAAAATTTAAATTAATAAAATTTGGAAAAAAAGAAACTGAAAAAATTGAAAGAAAAAACTGTGCAGAGAAGTCATACAAAGAAGTCCTAGTAATCTGAAAAAAAGTTCAAAATTCTTTGGTTATGTTTAGTATTCCAGAGAAAGAACTCCAATTCTAGAAGCAAATCTATCAAGGTAACACAAGGGAAACTGAATAGGCAATGAATTTCTATGTATAAATACATCATTTGAGTCAAAGTCATGTTAAATAATATTTGTTTAATATGTTAATATATTAGTTAAACCATAAAATCTGCAAACATTACACCTCTCTGTTGTGTTTCATTTACAGTTGTCAGAAAGAAATGTTTTTTACTCACTGCAGCTTGCTGTTGTTTCAATTTGTCTCTGTACTCCTCTAACTCTTGCAAATTGAGAACAGGAGGAAGCTTCTAAAACAAAGAATCCATAAATGAAGGGTGAAAAACAATTTAATTTGGTTTCATTTACCTACACACCTCTCCCTTATGAACTACAATCTGTGCATACAAAACAGTGTCACATCCTGTTTCTCCTGTCCTCCCCAAGTTCCCCTCTAGACTCCAGACACAAAAGCCTGTATCTCTGTTACCCAACCTTTTGGTGCTCAAGTTCTATCCCTCACCCAGCCCTCCTATCTCCACTGCTGCAGCCTCCAACCCCCAGGAAACCCTGCCACCCCTGGGACTTCTGGACCCTGAGCAGGGAAACACTGCCTCCACAACCTGTAACCAAATGAGTGCAAGTCCCTAACCTCAGCCACCAGTACATCCCTACCTACCTATGACAGAACTCAAAATTTGTGTCCCCTCTGAAATAATATGAATGGTAACTAAGCACCATAGTGCAACAGTGACAGTTGTTGGAGTACATTCTAGAGTACACATATTTCAGAGGACAGTAAGGGAAACCAACAAAAACGCATACAACTGTATAGACAGGAAACTGCCAGGTTAGACTTCAAGCCTCAGTCAACTCATAATGAAACTTCAGAATGAGCTGGGTATTGCCTTTATCTAAAATCTGAATTTTACTATTTGGACTTTTTTTGAAGTTCCCGTAAATTTTTTTTTTTTGAAGTTCCTGTAAACTTAAAACACCATTGTTCTAAACATTATGGCACAGGGGTATTTATCACGACTAAACAATTATGTAAATAAATTTTCATGACTAAAAGTCTCAGAGCTTTCCTAAATATATTTAACCAATATAAAATAAGATAGAGGCAACATACTAACATATGTTATGCTAACAGTTAAAAACCAAAAATACACAAATGTTTCCTGGATCAAATGTCTATAGCTGCACTTAATTTTACATCTTTAAATGAATTATCAGCATTGTTGAAAGATGAGATTATTTTTAATCACAATATGCTCATCACAGACCAGTCCTGGTATTGAAAAAAAAAAAAAAAACCCTAAAAATCATTCATAGCTCATTCACAAATTCAATCACTGAACACAACAGGCTTTAGATAGGTTTTAATGAAGGTTTTTTTTTTTTTTACCTCCAGCTCATACTTAACAATATCAAATGAGTCCGTAGAAAAATACACTTGTTCGATACTATTAATTAGTTCTTGTTCAGCTTGAGGGTCACTAGGCTGTTCTCGAAGTTCTCGGAATTCCTCCTTTATGGAAAAAAAAAATCAGTTATAGCACCTGTAGCTATTATATTTCTATCTGCATAGAAATAAATAATCATCTGTCATAACACTTGCAAATCTCCTGGGAAACATTCTGACCAAGGAGACAGACTAACAGAAAACATCAGAGTTCACAAAAATTAGGAAAACAGCCAAACACTAAAAACTACCCATCTATTGGAGAAAAAAAACTAGCCAGTTTGAGGATTCAGATTTTATTTTCAATTCCTTGTGTGCCAACTAGTAGTTGAGAGAATTTAGATATAAACAAAAGGAAAAAAACAGTAAGTACCTAATATCTATCATACATACATATCACACATATACGTATTTTCATCATTTAACAACATTCTAAAATCTGTCTCACCACAGATAAGCAGGGAACAACATCTCAATGACTTTCAGGTCACAAACAGCATTGGAATTCAGGTTTACAGTTAATAATTTTACAAATTTAAAATATAAATAAGAAATCCTTTCTTCTGCTGAAAATCTCACTGCTTAGCTAAGAAACACTTGGTTCCAGAAAAGGTTCACAAGATTAGTTCTGTAATTCTATGTCCAGAAAAGGTTTACAAGTTTAGCTCTGTAATTCCAAAGCAGCTTCCTTCAAGGTGTACTGATACTACAATTAACGAACTGATCATGAACCTAAAGTTCTGACTTTGAGAAAATATTTTCTTTCTAATGATAGGGCATAGGGCTCTGCTGGATTTACACAACAAAAAAGAGCTTAACAAAAATCCTACCCCTAATGTCAGCATACTTATCCCACGCAGCTTCAGTGCATAATTGGATAAACCTTCAGCTAACCGGGAAATTTCAGTAATTCAGATACCCACTCTCTGCCACACTAATCAATCGACATATAATTATAGACATATAACAATTTAGTCAATTTTATTCAAATTAATCTCAAATACATTTAAGCACACAAAAGAAACCAGCATTTAAAAGCATTTTACAGTCAAAATAATACTTACCAAAACTTCTTAATAAATCACCATTAATTAAATACACAAAAATTATAGGGTCAATTAGAGGATAATATTTTCCAAATAGAAATATTCAAAATTATTTTATTGCAGGGTATAATTTTTATTGATTAAAAAAAGAGCCAGGGTGAGGTAGGAAAGGATAGACCGGGCGTTCAAAATTTGTAGATACTGACAGGTATATGTAGAATACATAAACAAGATTATACAGTATAGCACAGGGAAATATATACAAGATCTTGTGGTAGCTCACAGTGAAAAAAAATGTGACAATGAATATATGTATGTTCACGTATAACAGAAAAATTGTGCTCTACACTGGAACTTGACATAACATTGTAAAATGACTATAACTCAATAAAAGATGTTAAAAAAAAGAAAAAGAAAAAATGCAAAAAAAGAGCCTGGTTTATATATCTTTTAGACTTGAATTTATATTTTAAATTTATAAAATTATTAATTATAAAATTATCCCCTCTTAGGAGAGTCAAGCTAAAAGATAATACTACAGCAATAAATCTGAAACTCAAGAGAATAGCTAACTGTTCAAATTTAAAATTCCATTAAATTGAAAAGAGAAGGCAAAGTCCTATAAAAACTAAACCTGTGTAACTAAAAGTACAGGGGAAAAAAAGCTTCTTCAGTACCAAAAGTCAACTTATAAAATAAACAAACAAAAAAAAAATGTTAAAGATACAGCCATCACTGATTTAGCATGCAATTAGATATTCTGAGTACACCAAGAAATCCAGCATCTTAACAGTGGGAGCTCTATTCCGGTGGGGATTTATCTACAACACACTAATCCATGTAGCACCTTGGACAACGGCGCTGAGGAGGTTTAACAGACCTGGGCTAAACCCACACAACTTGTGGAAGGATTCCCAACTAGTTAGCCTATCCACAGGCAACCTCCCTGCATCCAGTGGAAATCTGAATTGACAGTGAGACACGAAATGGAAAAAGAGATCAGAAATTCCTGGCGATGTCCCTCCCTAAAAGTTCACAGCTTCAGATGCTACAAGCTAAGGGAACGAATAAGACCCAAGTGGGGATATAGCAATGCTGCCTCCCTAGGAATTCTGCAGCACCATAGATGTACTTGGTACTATTCAAAAAAAAAAACAAAGGAAGAAGATTACAAAAATTGCTAAGAATGAAAAACATCAGATACGGAACAAGCCAGAAATTCAAACAGACTGCAACGAATGAGCATTTTCATCTCAAATGCATAAATGCCAATGGCATACAACTCCATGCAGAGGTTCTTTCTACACAACCTAACTGATTGATCTAAAGGTTTTAGCTGCAACTCTGCTATCAACCATGGGCAACTGAGTCTCTTCATACATAGTTTTTTTTCACTTGTAAAGGACACTCACATACACACACATGCTCAAAATGACAGAGAAACAAATATCCAAAGTTATTAAAAATGTCAGAGGGAAAACATGATTTCATTTATAAATATTTCACAAGTGTACATTTCACAAATGTGATGAATCTGTAAAAAGAGTACAATCTGTATATGTATATAAAAGGTCAAACGCCATTCCTTCCTAAAGAACTCAGCAATTATCACAGAGAGCAGAGAAACGCATACAATTCCAAAGACGTTGCTTCTAACACTTGACACTAAGTAACCGGGACTAAGGAGAGGGATAAAACGAAGAAAAGGCAGAAAAAGAAACATAGCACACAAAGTAGATTTCAATCCAAAACAAATGCCCAAAACCATATCCTTTAAAATACCCTCTCCTTACAGACAACTTAGTGGCTCCTGTGTGAAAATACGTTATCTGAACTCAGTCAAATTCCATTCTGCCTAGAATCCAGATCACTGTTTTCCCTTTTAATCCTACTGCACTGCTTGTCTATAAGACTCTGCTCCTATCCAATCATTCTCTAAATGTTTCATCGCTGTTAGTGCTGCTGGCTCGATCAGATTACACACTTCTTGAGAACTGAGGTTTCTTCTTATTCTCCATCATTATGCTCCGAAGTGCCAAGGCACACTGTAGATAAAAATCACTGATCAAACTAATTTACACAGTGAACTGTACAAAAAAAAAGGAAAACAGCAAAAGGAAGACACAATACGTTCTTGTTTTGATGGTCAAAATCTTCCACCAACTCTTAAGAAAGGATTTCTTTCTTCTAACTAGAAATAACAATAAATGTTAGATGATTTTAGGGATATTTTATGTATGTAAATTAGAAAAATAAACAAATGGCTGGACTGCATATTCTTAACACATTACTCCTTTTTTTTGCCATTATATAACTGGGTCCCTAGGATTGGAGATATCTGAAAATAGCATAATTCTTCACCTAAAAACAACCAGTTTTGTGACCCACTATATATGAGACAAAATTTTACATAAACAAAATGAACAAAAGATTTCCTACAAAAAAATTTAAAAGGTAAAATTAGGGGAAGAGGGTAACAAACGAAACTTCTCATACCATACTGAAATATGTAATATTTTTTAAAGTTACTATAATATTAGATACTTAAACTATTGTTTGGGAATAAAACATTTCAGTCTTATAAACTATTATGTTATCAATAAAATTTTAAAAAATTTATAGTGAAGTTTGTTTTACATAGTAACTAATAAACACATATTATCTTTAAAAGCGGTATAAATGCTCCATAAACTCTGAAAATTCAAAAATGATTTGTCAACAACTACAGACCACCAAATGTGCAACAACTTGCCTTCTAATGGTATGTAATCTACTATATCTAAAATAAAGTACATCTATGTCACCCTGGAATTAAAGTTAGACAAAAACTACAATTACAGTCATGAATTTAATTGTAAAGGGGATAAAAACAAAAGTACAAGCATCAAAAAAGAACAAATTAAACCTCTTTCCCTGTCATGAGGAAGTAACCTGCCTACTAGCAAAGCTCTATTACACTATCTTTCCTGGTCAAGTCATGTATTTCAATTTAACAATTTTTTTTCAATTCCCACCAGGTAAAAATTCTCCACACTAGGTCACACAGAAACAAAGATGAGTAGAACACAGCTCTTTCCTCAAACAGTTACTTAAGTAATGGGTGGGGGAGGGGGGAGTCAGAGGAATAAACAATGACGATGCCAGGCAGAACACAAAGGAACACACACAAAATGAAGGGCATCAAAGGATAGTGAGCTCACATCTGATGGAAGAGGTGGCATTTAGAGAATACGAGGAAAGGTAAAACTTCAAGTTTTACAAACTGGGGGGAATAAGGCTACAAACATAAAGCAAAGCAAAAGTAAAAACAGTGAAGTGGGAATGCATACAACAGGTTAACCAGCATAGGATGGCTTCCCACAGGGCAGAAAAATGTCATAGGGGGAGACAGCATGCACACCAAAAGGTAATAAAATGTAACAATTGTGATGCTTTTAAAATCCAATATATTTTTATATATACTGGAACCATATTTTTCCTTCACTAAAAATAAAGCATCTTAGCACATATCACTGTGCCAGATGCTATATTCCAAAAGTAAGCATAAATATTCAATATTTTCTTAACAAAACAAACCAAGCAGGGTTATTTTAGGAAAGTGGTGTATAACGAAGAAGTTATTCAATATTCTAGAGGCAGTCTTTTCCAGCAGTCACAAAACACTATAAAATTGCATATTTTCTATCTTGATCATCTGAGATAAAGCTACATGAACATACACATAAAAAATACGTACAGCAAATGTAACTTTATGAAAAGTAAAGAAAAACAATCATAGTAGAAATTTAAGTGAACATGTTTGATTTTAGCCAAGCCATTTTTCCTGTCAACATAACAACAAAAGGTCATATAAGAACTGGGGATTCAAGTCTATAAAACAACTAGAGCCCTCAAGCATAAGATGTTGTAAAACATTTCCAATATACTTATGGTTTCTAAAGAACCAGGCTATAACTTTACAAAGCAATTTCCCACTTAAGAGTTCATCTCTTAAGGGAATGTATTCAAGTTCAAGAGGGA